TTAACCTAACAGTCATGTTTTTGGTCTGTGGGAGGAAGCCGGAGTACCCGGAGAGAACCCACACATGCACGGGTTATTTTTTATTATTATTTTATTTTATTTTATTTTAGTTTCATTTTTTGTGGATCTCGGAGAGCAGGACTTCAATCTCTGAATTCGTAAAGTTCTTCTTTTTTACTTTACAATGCCATTCATGAATAAACACTTTCTGGTATGTGGGGCAGGAAACGTATATCCTTTCGTGTTTTTGAGGTGGTAATTATGTTAATTACCTCTCCGCGTGCACGAGCAGCTGGATACGAACAGGTGTAATTAATCATGTTTACGGAGCTCATTTATAACCTTTTCCTGAAGCTAGAAGAGTTTGTTGAATCTGACGTGGCATGTTTGTACGAACCCTTCATACGAACAAAAGTAAGAGAAATTTAGGATAAGAATACGAACATGTTCTTGCGTGAGGCCCAATGTGTTCAGAGTCTCCCTGCTTACTGTGGTTCTGTAAATAACTAAATATGTGTGTTCTTCTCTTTGACGCCTTGCTTCATCCTCAGCCTGCTCTTCAACCGGGTGAATTTGTTATCTTGTGGAAACGAAGGACACATTGTTTCAGTAAAAACACCGATAAAGATGCTACTCTGTTTGCTCTCTCTGGAACGATTCTCATTTTAAAACAATTCTCAATCAGTTCTGTTGGAGCTGTTTTGTGCAGGCGAATATAGGTTTTCCTCCCCGGTAAAGAAATATCACATACATGTTAAATTATTCAGAAATAATATGACTGTTAAACGTTTCAAGAATAAATTTAGATTGCAAAATCCTATTTTCCTGAATGGGATTGTGTCAAGAGCTCTGTTAGTTTCTTCTGATTAATGAAATACAGCATTTGTGTCATGCCTGCTTATCTTTTTTGTCTTTTAATTTATACACATAAAAGGCATCACACATCGCTTTGTGCTGGAAAATGGAGATTTCTCCTTTCCTRTCTGGTCCTTTTAGGCCACATGAGATCAATGCGTAGATATTCATGGTGTGTTGGCAAGAAGGTGTTTGAAGGCTTGAAGACTGAAGAGAATTGCTTTAATTTCCAAGCATGGCTTCGAGATAGAGGAGTTTTTCTTGATATACATAAGTGTAATCATTCTAGTGCTGTACCAAACGATTATTTTCTCATCGATTAATCTAACAATTATTTTTTCGATTAATCGATTATTCTAACAACAAATCTGTAAGTTATTCTGATGTGAGTGCACTGGAAATTTAAAATGTTTTCATCAAATTAACAAGAACAGTTCTTTAATATTGTAATGTTTTCTGTAATTGTAATATTATTGTAATTGTAATTGTAATATTTTCATCGAAAATATACCGAAATGGAATTGCATGAACATTCACGTGGTGGTTATGTAATACAGTGAATCGATAATAAAAAATCTGCGTCGACAAATTTACATAATCAACGTCATCGATTATTTCAATTAATCGGTGCAGCCCTACTTGTGACGTCCACGGCCTACCCCAGTTACCACTACTGTGCATGTGTGTCAAGGACAGAAAGG